TGTGTCTCCTGTCAGCGTGTTTGTAGCCTCCTGTGTGTTCCAGTTTCGAGTCTGTCTCCTTAAGAGTTTATTGAGTTTAAGTTAGCTCCCTTGCTTTTAAGCCTTTTGGATTTTTGTTTCAAATAAAGGATTATTTATTTTGTTAACTACTCGCTCCCTGTGTCGTTCTGGGTATCTGAGCATTGGGTCCCACTTCACCTAAACGTAACAGGCTGATTTAACTTGGAACTGTGAGATCGTATGAAAACTTTTGCTGTTTAAGTTGAATTCAGATAGACATGAAATATATATTGATAATAATTACATATGTAACAGTGATGTTGAAAGGCAGGATACAGTTTTAACCTGTTTTTGTTCTTGTTTTGTTGCATTGGAATTTAAATGTTCCACATTTGGCAAGTTTGGACAAAATCAGTTATGGTATGGCATGAAAATTAAAATATAAATATAATTAAACTAAATAAATTAAAATGTTAAATTCTATCAGTTGCTCATTCTGCATTGACTTTGGAGAGTGAGGAGACCCATTCGATATGGCAGCGATGCTCTCCAGTGCCCAATCATCTATGAATTCATGTCTATGATGTCAGCATAACAACCACTGTTTATTCTACAGAAAAGCGCACTGAGAATCATTAATAACAAACACATAGAGCTCCATCCAATCCGTTATTCATCAAATATAAACCACTGAAATTTTATGATCTAGTGAATATGAAAATATTGCAAACAATGTATAAAGCTAAAACCAATACGTTACCCAACAACATTCAGAAAATGTTTGAAAAAAGAGTCAGTAATAATTTCTTAAAAGGAACTGAAGTATTTAAAAAAACGAAATTTAGAACCAGAATGAAGGAAATCACTATCTCTGTAAATGGCGTGAGAATATAGAATACACCCTCAGGTCACCCTTCTCAAAGATGGGGACCACCACCCCGGTCTGCCACTCCACAGGAACTGCCCCCGATGACCACGCAATGTTGCAGAGACGTGCCAACCACAACAGCCCTACGACATCCATAGCCTTGAGATACCCAGGACGAATCTCATCCGCCCCCTGGGCTCCGCTGCTGTGTAGTTGTCTGACTACCTCAGCAACTTCTGCCCCGAGATTGGACAGTCCATCCCCAGGTCTCCCAGCTCTGGTTCCTCGGAATGCATGTAGGTGGGATTGAGGAGCTCCTCAAAGTATTCTTTCCACCATCTGACTATAGCCCCAGTTGACGTCAGCAGCTCCCCATCCCCACTGTAAACAGTGTGAGCGAGTTGCTGCCTTCCTCTCCTGAGGCGCCGGACAGTTTGCCAGAACCTCTTTGGAGCCGATCGATAGTCTTTCTCCATGGCCTCACCAAAGTCCTCCCACGCCCGAGATTTTGCCTCGGCAACTGCCACTGCTGCACCCCGCTCGGCTATCCGGTACCTGTCTGCTGCATCCGGAGACCCACAGACCAGCCAAGCCCTGTAGGCCTCCTTCTTCAGCTTGACGGCTCCCCGAACCTCTGGTGTCCACTAGCAGGTACGGGGGTTGCCACCACGACTGGCACCGGCCACCTTGCGACCACAGCTAGCAACAGCCGCCTCAACAATCGCAGAGTGGAACAAGGCCCACTCGGAGTCAATGTCCCCCACTGATCTCGGGACGCGGTCAAAGCTCTGCCGGAGGTGGGAGTTGAATACCGTCTTAACAGGTTCTTCTGCCAGGCATTCCCAGCAGACCCTCACTATGTGTTTGGGTCTGCCAGGTCTGCGCGGCATCTTTCCCTGCCATCTGATCCAACTCACCACCAGGTGGTGACCAGTTGAAAGCTCAGCTCCTCTCTTCACTCGGGTGTGCAAAACATACGGGCGGAGGTATAAATTGCGGGTGGCACAGAAGTCCAATAACGAAACACCAGTGGAGTTGAGATCAGGGGGGTCGTTGTTCGGAATCACACCCCTCCAGGTCAAGCTGTCATTGCCCACGTGAGCATTGAAGTCCCCCAGCAGGACAATGGAGTACCCTGATGGAGCACTATCTAGCACCTGTCCCAGGGACTCCAAAAAGGGTTGGTACTCTGTAGTGATATTTGGCCCATAAGCACAAACAACAGTCAGGACCCATTCCCTGACCCGAAGGCGCAGGGAAGCTACCCTCTTGTCCCCCGGGGTAAACCCCAACACACAGGCAGAGAGTCTTGGGGCTAACAAAAAGCCAACCCCAGCCCTCCGCCTCTCACCCGGACTCCAGAAAAGGAGAGTGTCCAACCCCTCTCAAGGACTTGGGTTCCAGAGCCAATGCTATGTGTCGAGGTGAGTCCGACTATATCTAGCCGGTACCGCTCAACCTCTGCCACAAGCTCCTACTCCTTCCCCGCCAGCGAGGTGACGTTCCATGTCCCAAAAAACAGTTTTCTTGTCCAGGGATTGGACCAGCCAAGGCTCCCGCCTTGGTCTGCCACCCGATCCACATTACACCAGACCCTTCATGTTCCTCCTGCGGGTGGTGGGTCCACAGTTGGATGAGCCCATGTATCTGGTTCGGGCTGGGCCCGGCCGGGCCCCATGGGCGAAAGCCCGGCCACCAGGTGCTCGCTCACGGGCCCCAACCCCAGGCGCGGTGGGCGGAGTCAAACATTTGACTCCGCCCATGATGTGCCCCGCCCCGATCTGCGTACTGCAGACTACTGGTTGCTGTGACACTTTTTTCAAAAACCTTTATTAACAACTTTCAAACAAACAATAAAGCAGTTATTTGAAATGAGTAACTTCATTGCTCCTTTGTGTAAAAGTTTAAGAGCATCAAATAATCATTCTAAAATGAACTCATTTCATTAGAAAATTCATATTTCCAGAAAAGGAACTTGAGCCTTTTCTCTTGTAGCAATGACTTGTGGGTAATACCCTTGCCGGAGGTCCGCATCGCTGCAGACTTGGGTGAAGTCTAAAAATAAATGATAATTCTTAGTCAATTAGCGGATGATACAACCCTGTTCTTAAAAGGCAGAAACCAAATCCCAACAGCTTTAAAAACAATTAAATTAGTTTCAGAGGCATCAGGACTAAATCTCAATATTGCTAAATGTGAACTAATAAAAATACATGAAGGCCTGGAGACCTCCTTGTTTAACATCCCTGTTAAAAAGAAATCTGCTATCTAGGAATTTATTTTACAAATGTTCCAAGTGATAGAAACCAGAAGAACTTTCTGAACACAGTAGAAAAAAAAAATCTTGAACAGTTGGCTTCAAAGAGATCTGACATTATTTGGAAGAACTCGTCTAACAAAGATGGAATCCATTTCTAGACTGATATACCCTGCTCAATCATTGGCCATATCTCCTAAAATTATTAAAGAAATAAATAAGATGAATCTTGATTTTATATGGAAGAACAAAAATCACTACATTCAAAAAAGTGATTTAATTAAGAATTATGAAGACGGTGGTATAAAAGCAATAGATTTTGAAAATTTGAATGGAGTATTAAAAATTAAATGGCTTAAATCCTTCTTAATAAATAAAGAGGAAATTTGGCATACAATTCTGAAATTTATATTTGAAAAAGTTGGAGGAATGGAATTCCTACTAAGATGTGATTTTGAAATCCTGAAGTTGCCTCTCAAACTTTCTGAATTCCACAGACAAGTCCTCTTTTTTGGAAAAATGGTTTTCAAACATAACTTCAGCCCACATAATGTTCCGATATGGAATAATAGAACTATTTTGGATAGAACCAAAACCATATTTGTGAAAAGTTGGATGGACAGAGGAATTTGGTCAGTGACACATATTTTAGATGAAAATGGACATATTCTTTCACTTAAGAACTTCAATCTCAAATATGATGTAGACATTTCTGAAAATGAATATAATAAGGTGATTAATAATATCCCAAGTGCATCTAGTTAAAGCTTCTATCGGTTATATATTTAACCCTAGACTCAAAATATTAGCAGTTGATGGGATAGAAATTTTCAATAAAAAATGTAACAAAATTTTCCTGAGAAACAAATTAAACAAAACCTTTTATCCAAACCCAATACTCCGATTCTCGTTACTACACAACTTTTCAAAAGAAGAAATTAAAATTTTGAGAACCAACGATCTAAAATTCTCTTTACCCCCAAAGTAAGAAGTCCATTTTAAAACCTTGAATGATATTTACCCATCAAACCATTTAATACAAACTAGATTTAAGTTCAATGTGGAAAAATGTTACTTATGCAAACAAAACGATGAATCGACCAAACATCTTTTCTATGAATGTGATAAAATTTTAATGATGTGGAATTCACTCCAGGATTGGCTGAACTCCAATCAAATTTATATAAACAATTTCACAGTTGAAGATATCTTATTTGGCATTATACTAAAAGATAAAAATAATGAATTTCTAATTAATAATCTCATAATCTTAACAAAAATTTTCATACACAAATGCCGATATCTCAAAAATCCACCTACTTGGAATAATCTCAAAAATGAAATTAAACTGCTGTTGAGATCCTTAGGTAAAATGTCCATCCCCAATGCTATAAAGCTTTATAATTTCATTATGAACACTAATCTCTAACCGCTTTTTGGATGATATACACAATAGACCTTGTTTGCTCTTTAACTTTCCCCTTGTACAAATTTTATTTATATACACATATAATTTGTGTTTTCATGCTGTCTTACTTGTATCCTTTCATGTTCTATTCTTGTTTTTTTTGTTTGTTTGTTTGTTTGTTTGTTTTTTTATTGTCTTCTTACTGTACCAAGTTGAATTGTATCTACAAAATGCAAGTTGAGATGAACACTGACTTCGGAGCTACTCTGTAATGTCATTCTGCTAACTAATTTTGAAATGTAGTCGCTTTTGTTCGTTTTGCAAATGTTCAATAAAAGTTCTTTAAAAAAACTTACTCAAACCATACGGTTTTACGGGTTTTACGTTGCATCTTCTTCTTTTATGCCAATTCAGGATGTACAGACGCAACAAAACGCAACACTGCCCCCTGGAATAGAGGACGTGACGTAATTTACCACCGGAAATGACATGTTATTTTGCTTTTGTTGGCGGACTAAGGGCTTGCTTTCGGTTATTCTGTCGCATGACTGAATAAAGCAAAAGTGAGCGGTGCAACCCCGCATCTGCGTCAGGTCTGCCGGTACTAAACTTACAGACGTACCGGAACTTCCGGTGTAATGGAGGATTTATTAGTAACGGAAAACCCGCTGCTTCTACCGCTCAACAAGGAGAAAACGGCTTATGACGGCTTTCTTTGTGTCCAGGTAAGACCTGACACGGTCTCTCACACAGTCACACACGTTATTGTGTTGTAACCCAGACCGTTTTGTTTTTACAGGACAGAGATTTCCGAATAAGAGTCCTGCTCCCATCAGACCTGCAGCTTAAACGGGCCAGGTACTCCTCACCTGTGTTAATGCTGGGAGCTTCACAGATCTAGTCCGACTCAACACTAGAGTCTGTGCTCCAACACAGGTTACTCACCTGTCCAGTGATGGAATTCTTCTGGTTTTGTCCTTGCAGGTTACACTGCTGCTGGCAGCTCAGACACCTGCTGAGAGAGTACGAGCTCATAGTGAGACAGGTGAGTGTGACTGAGAGTGAGACGTGAGTGTGACTTAGAGGGCGAGACAGGTGAGTGTGACAACCCTAATCGCAGGTAATGCTAAAATCACGTGACACATTTCCTTTTTCTGATCCAATCAGAACCTTCCAGATCTGACGCGAGGCGTGGTTTTGTTGGTGCTTGGTAACTCCCCTATTGTTGTCCTTTTTTGATTCGACCGCAAAGCAAAACATCCAAATTGTAAAACTATGCCCACGTCATCTTAACTTCAGTTCAAAGCATTCTAGAGAAGTTGTCGGAGTGGCCAATCCGTAACTTTCCTCTTCAGCCGAAAGAACCAACGACAAGCTGGATTAAATCTGTTTCATGTTCCACCTGCTTGCCTTATCCTGCTGCAACGGTTCCTTTCAGAATAAAAGCTGAATCTTCACGACCCCTTTTTGGGTCTTGCTAGATGCCAATAAAACTGTCGTGACCAAGCACCCACAATGCGGGTGAAAAATTGAGGCCAACCCGGAAGTACCAAAAATTGCAGTTCCACCCTCATCCGCTGGGGGCTGGTGTCAGAAGCGAGCAAATCCTCATTGAGTCCCATGCTAAAAATACCAATTTCACAGCAGAAATAAACATGTTTACAGCCTGGTATCAAAACATGTTTTTGGTTTAAATGATCTAGTTTACACTCATGACAACTCTGAGGGGGGTGAATTTTTTTCTCATTCTTCTGTTTAAGTGTATTAAAAGCCCAAAATTCTGTATAATTAATGAGCATCCGACACACGTGACCACAGAGCTAGCTCCGTGGAAAGGCCTCAGTAGAGCCTCGGTCTGGCCTGGAAACTGTTCCGGGATTTTGAGTCTCTGTGTTTGTGTATTCTGTTTGGATATTTTTTTGTGCAATTGTTGGACAAAATGACTTGCTGTGGCATTAATTGCACTAATAGAGCGTCAAAGGAGTCTCCACTTCATTTTTACAGTAAGTAAAATTATATTTATGTATTTTAGGTCACTGCTGAGCTTAGATTTTAACATGTACTGTTTAACCATGAAATTTAAATGTAATAGGGTAAAACCCAGTGCATTTAACATAATGCTGCACTTTAGAAAATGGGTTGAAATATAACATGTTGATGGAGCTGGGTTCCGACTATCGGCTTGTGGAGCTCTCGGGAGACCGATGTTTTCCACCCGTTCTCCCCTCCCAGCAGCTCGGCGCATCTCTGTCTGATCACGGCTTCTGTCTGCTGCGCGGGCTGACGGCTTGTGGAGCTCTGGAATGGAAACCTTTCCACCCGGTTCTCCCCAGAACCATCTCAGATCGGAGCGGCGCTTGTCTGCTGCACGGGCTGCCGGCTTGTGGAGCTCTCGGGAGACCTCTGTGTTCCACCCGGTTTTACCCAGTGGTCAGCCGGGCGTATCTCTGACTCAGAAGCTCTGGTGTTGTGCACAGTTAACTCCGGTTGTAGCTAGGTTGCTACCTCCGTTAGCTTAGCTCCCACCTCCGCGTTAGCTTTGGGCTAGCTTCAGGTTAGCTTGTAGCTAGTTCGACTGGGTGTCGTCAGTTGATCCCAGCCTTACAGCCCCACCCTCAGCTCCTCCTCTCTTCCCTTTTGTGGAATCGTCTGGGCTTGACGGAACCTGTGACACGGTCAAAATGGCGGTGGTGGCCACCTCCCATTTTAGCTCAAAAACTTATTATTGGAGTCTGTGGAAACCCATTATCCAATATTTATATATCGATGGTCGTGACCTGGAAGTATCTCAAGACTGGTCTGCAAACCGCTGCTTTTCTACCGGCTTCGGTTCCAGAGGAGGTCAAGCTGGACCTTGACATTCGTGATCTAATGGGGACTTCCGCCAAGGGTACGTAGACCGACAGAATGACGTCTCAATGTGTGTTATAAATCTCCAAACCAAAGCTTAGAGCGAAACATCATCTTCACTCCCATCAGAACTAATCGTTTCTCCGGATCTGCTGGTTCTGAACATATTTCACACAAACACCATCTCACGTCTCATTCACACCCAGATCCATTCATCACATAGAGTGTTTAGTGTTTAAAGTTAGTCTAGTTTTAAATTGTTTAGTAATAAATCTTCTTAACTTTAAAACTTGACTCTTTTTCTTTTGTCTCTGGGTTAATACAAAGTGGGTACATAATCCCTTCAATAAAAAGTTCCAATCTTCTGGTTTAAATTATCCAAAGATCCATAAGATTGATTTCATATTTCCTATGGAATCTCACATTTTATGGTTCATTAAATAATATGTAAATTTAATCGTTACGCACATTTTGGACATGGAGAGCACCTGCAGTGCTGCTGCTGAGAAGGATAAAATTATGAAATCCTGCAGCATTATCACTTGTACTGCTTCGTTTTCACACAGAACAAGACCCCCCACACACACACATATGTGCGCGTACACACACATGCGCACACACTCACACACACACACACATACACACACACAAACTGCCTGAAGCGCAGAATACGGAATGCAGAAAATCAACAGGGGGACAGATTGAGACAGAATGTCATGCGTCTGTGACAGTGTGTGTCCTGTCGCTGTCACCCAATTGATCATGCGCCCTGGCTACTAGGACAAGGGAGATCTCTGTTTGGGTGACTGGATAGCATGCGTGACTTTCACCCGGGAGACTGGGGATCGAATCCCGATTGGACCATTTTTTTAAATATCCGCAACATTGACGGCTTCAGCAACGCTGTGCCACTCCGTGGATTTTCTCTTATTTGTTTTGCAAAAGCACTTCCTTTCATTTCTCCACCTCACCCACAGGTACCTCAACTTCTGCTTCTGTGAAATAGCGCTTCCTTGATCTGCCTTGATCTACGGTCGCCATGTCATTGGTGGAGCGCTGCAACAGCTGCCTTATGTATATGCACGAGATCCATAAGACACTTTGCATTGACTATTTATGGCAGTAAGTGGGCGTGGTGAGGGCGGGATGTGACTAAAAAGCAGCTGAGAAACATTCTCGTTAGTCTCCGATTTATGAAGCGGAGATTGCGTGCAGCTGTGCGTACTCCATGTTTGATAGATCACAAACCTGCTCGGCGTAAGTAATTTTTTTGCTGAGCTTAAGTACGGTTTTAGTAAGGATTCTACGCAATGTTTGATAAATGAGACCCCAGATGAATTAGCCCTGGCCTGTAGATTGTGCCCACCCCCAGGTGGTCTGGGTGAGATTGATCTTTGCCCTGGGCTGTAGAGTTCATTATCTTCACAGCCTTTAAGCTATTCTTAATTATGAAAGTAGGAGGCAGCCACATTAATCACAAACCAGCTGTTTTGATTTAAACGTCTAGAGCAACAGTGTCATGGTTCCTCTCAGAGACGTTTGTGTTCTGTGTCTCAGAGGTTGCAGCAGTCGGCTCAGCTCAGCACCTTCCTCCTGGAGCTCAAGACCATTGTGGTGAGAAGCTGTTAGCTGGGTCTGGGTGACCGTGCTGCTTTGTGACTCTTTAAGCACGGAGGTGTGACATGCACATGCTGAGAACACAACGGTGTGTGTTTGTTACAGGAAGTGTGTATGAAGAGCCGTGCAGGGTCCTTCGCCATCCCCCCTCCTCAGTATTACTCTCAGCTTATCTCGGAGATGGAGACCCTCGGATGGGACAAGTAAGTCACTCTCTCTGTGAAGCCCAGAGCGTTGGGCACCGTGCTGTTGGGTCGATCACCACGAAAACCAGCTTCATGGAGCTGTGTGTGTTTGTTAACATTTTTAATTTATTTCTGTCGGGTCAACGGTGGACTGGAGACTGACCTTAGTTGGCATTAGTGGTGCGACGGATCAAAGATCTCCGGGTTCAGATCATATCACAGTTTTCAGTCAGGGATCAGATCGTTTTTCAGATCAGCAGAAAGAAAATAAAAAACAAACGGCTTTGATCTCTCTCTTTATTTTGTAGAACACTTAGTGTTATTATTATTTTCTGCTCAATTTGCAACTTTCTGTAAAAGCAGGAGTTAAAGGTCTGATTGCTGATTAAATGTTAAACGGCTTGCCCTATAAAGACACGCTCTCCCTTCGTGGTCAGCTGTCACTCATCTCTCAACAGCATTTACAGGTCCCACCACGTTATGTTATATCCAAGGCATGTAACCGATCTGCGGACCGCAGAGATCCGTACTGATCACGGATAAATGATGATCTGTTGCACCCCTAGTTTGCATGCAGCCGTCCGTCTCTTTTGGCCCTGTCATTCTCCTGTCCAGGTGAACCCCGCCTCTCTGTCATTCACCTGTTTAGGTAAAGTCTGCCTCTCTGGGAGTAAAACCTACAGTAGGTGTTTGAGGGGATTCTCATCTGTGTCACCAGGAACCTCGTAGCCGGCAGCTGTGGCTGAGTCCAGAAATGTGGTAAAATGGTAAATGGCCTGTATTTGATATAGCGCCTTCTAGAGTCCTGGAACCCCCCAAGGCGCTTTACAACACAACCAGTCATTCACCCATTCACACACACATTCGCACACTGGTGGGGACGAGCTACAATGTAGCCACAGCTGCCCTGGGGCGCACTGACAGAGGCGAGGCTGCCGAGCACTGGTGCCACCGGTCCCTCCGACCACCACCAGCAGGCAAGGTGGGTTAAGTGTCTTGCCCAAGGACACAACGACAGCGACAGACTGAGCGGGGCTCGAACCTGCAACCTTCCGATTACGGGGCGAGCACTTTACTCCTGTGCCACCGTCGCCCACCGTCCATGTGGAGCAGAGTTTGACCCTGAAGAGGGAAAAATAACGACGGTTTAGGGCTGAATTTTTACATTTGAAATGAGACGCACTAAACAGCCTAACCAATGACTGACCTGTCTACAGTACTATTAGACACACCTGTGCAACCAATATTTATTTCATCTAGTTGCTGTTTGAATGTTCATATCAAGTTTCCACAGTGGTGTGTCCCTGAGCTAAAACGTATAAATATTACATGCCTTACAGATTCTGTTGGGTAATGTTTGCTGCATTAGCGGTCATGCTAACGGTAAGATGACAGGACTCGCAGGAACATCACCTTAGCAGAACAAAGAGACTCCTTATTGTGACCTCACACCAAGGTGATCACAGGGATGGAAAACCTGGAAAAGGATCACGGTGCTTTAAAACGTTCCTGAAACCGTAGCTGGAACCGCTTTCTTTGTTGGGACCAGCTGACCAGAACACACTGAGTGATGCAGGAACCGTTAGTTTCACTAAAGTCTGGGTGACGACGTTAAATCAAAGACGAAACACATTTAAGTGGGTGGAAATACCAAAAGCAGAAAACGACAGTAGTCTGGTTTCTTTATAGCACAATAATCTGTTTTTATCAAAGTGAAACAATCGTTCTGGGAAACCTGGAGAAACTAACGACCCTACGTCAGCTGTGTGTGTGTGTGTGTGTGTGTGTGTGTGTGTGTGTGTGTGTGTGTGTGTGTGTGTGTGTGTGTGTGTGTGCTTGTCTTTATATGCTTAAGTGTAGATTTTGTAACTTTCAACCTGCAGTGTGGACCCTTAAACCGTTTGGTGTGTGGATTACCGTTTGGGTTCGATTAGGATTAGGAGTAGATCAGCCTTGGTTAGGGTTAAGCCGGGCGTACACTGTGCAACTTTTTCACTTTTTTGAGCCGATTTTCCACTCATGCAAGAATCCACGAGATCGGGGCGAGTTTTCGTCGTGTAGTGTACAGGGGGTTACGAGAGGCGATTAACACCACGTGACCAGCTACCGATCAGCAGTCGTGAGCTCGCTCAAACTTCTGGCGTGTTTAATATTTTGCTCGTCCCTCGTGAGGGTATCGCACTGTTGAAGCGACGCTGCGAGCAGCTGCGACCCAAAAAGTATCAGAACCGCTCACGGCGCATGCGCAATCCTGCATCAACACCTCTCCCCGCTATTTCCCTAATAAAATACGTTGTTCATTTTTATTTCTACACGTTTTTTTTTACTCACAAATATTGTCAAGAAAGCGTGTTTGACGTGTTCATGTCAAATTAAACTGATCACAAAACACAGATTTACTTTATTTCGTTTCCTCATCCAACCCCCATAAATCCTGTGTGTCCTGCAGCACTCCCGAAGGACAACAGGCAAAACAAGACAAAAAAGTGACGTGTTGAGTAAAAACTGCTATTTTTAGCATATTTTTAGGGCTGACGTGTTGCTACCAGACGTACAGTGAGCACATGACTCGTGAGTTCTGCCCTGCGAGGAAGTCGTACAGTTTGAGCTGAAGCTGAGTGCTACGAGTGAAAAAGTTGCACAGTGTACGCCCAACTTTAGTCAGAGGGAATGGAAGTCAATGAGGGTCCTCACTATGACAGAAATACAGACGCGTGGTGTGTGTACGCCCGCAGCATGGTGTGTGTTTGTCCCCCAGAGGTCAGTGTCTTGTTCCCGTAGCCCTCTGGAACGACAGCGTTCCACATTAATAACTGCTCCTTAATGATGTCTTTATTTATAGGTATTGAGTTATCGTTAAATCCAGGTCATATTTAATAACGCTCTGACAGACGCAGCTAATACCACCCAGTTCCCCCCAGCTCAGATTAAGCCTTCACCACTTTTCCACTTCTCTATTAACGACCACGACTGCAATTATGATATTAGCAAAATGCTAATGGCTCTAATTGAAGACTCTCAGGTCTTAATGGGGAGGGTATTACCCACAGCAGGCCTGGATCTCCACAGCTCTCTAGATTCTCTTAGTGTCTTAATTGGTGCGTTCCATGCTAATAACCTTCAGGGACTTCAGCCAGGATGCTGTCTGCTGATCGGACCTGGACCTGGACCTGGAGTATGCTCTTCTTCTCCAGTGTTGCCATCCTCATAGGCTGGAGACTCTGTCTGAGGCAAAAACATGCATTCCTTTATAGAGACTAGGTCAACGTGTCATCCATCATCACACAGGTTACCCAGGAGGGTAACCTTCTCAGATATCACGGTGTGTGTCTGCGTTGGTATTTTACTGACATCACAACCAACGACGTGGATGGGAAATCATGCAGATTACCAAGGCCGCCCAAACTTTAGCGGCTGTGAGCGTAACGGCTCATAAAGGACTTCTCTAATCCTGGAAAATAAGTGCAGTCACTGGTTGTACTGGGAATCCTCCAGTTCAGCCCATCAAGACCGTAAACTAGATTAGAGAAGAACGAGGTTGTTGTCGGTAGGAAACCCGTAGATCAGCTTTATTTGGTCTTTGTCTTCATTGTCCTCTAGCTTCACTTCTGTTCACCTTCATTTGCACGTGTGTGTTTGAGACGAGCACAACATATGTGTTGATCTTCCCACTCATGAATCATCTTCAGAGACAGACACACACACACACACACACACTTGCTTCTGTGTGTGGAAGTGACTCACTTGGCTGCAGAGTTGTAAATGGGAAGCTCTCATCAGTCTTCTCAGCAAGACGTCTGACTGTCACGCTGTTCCCATCAGGACCAGCGGGGACGGAGCTTGTCCCTGGTGTCCCGGGTGGGAGACCCCAGAGGAGAGTGGATGTGTGTGTTGCTTCTACACTCGTTAGTCCTTGAAGAAAACCAGATCTTAAAAGAGTTTGACGGCATGAGAGGATAAACACTTTTAAAATAATATTTTCTCTGTCTCGATAATTGAATTTCCATGCTCCAGCATGTCTTTGCATTAAATAAGCTAAACACGTTGTTCCTGAAACGGCGCCTTCCGCAGGTGAAATCATTGCTGGTGATTTAGTGTCCGACAGGAGTAGAAGGACAGGCACATGAAGACTCCAGCCTTTATCTGTGAATGTTTTTGGTTCTACATCTGAGCAGTTTCTATTTTTTTCTACAGTTCGGGTTCTTGTTCTGCAGAACCGTTTATTCACTATCACAAATGGGCCTTTCTGCTGTATTAGCCAACCGGCTGTTAAATCAGCCTTATTTCAGCCAGGGGATCGATCTGAACAGTAGTCGTGCTCCTCGTGTGCACACGCTCACTGAGTGCTCTGAACGCTTTTATTACTGGAGCAGAAATTGATATTTTATGGGTGTGTAGTCATAAACGTCCTCACGAGGATAGCAAGAATCTGCTCTCCACAGCTGCTAATTAATAGATCAAAGCTGAGTGGCTGTGTGTGTGTGTGTGTGTGTGTGTGTGTGTGTGTGTGTGTGTGTGTGTGTGTGTGTGTGTGTGTGTGTGTGTGTGTGTGTGTGTGTGTGTGTGTGTGTGTGTGTGTGTGTGTGTATTACCACCCATCAGTGGTCCTAATGTTTAGGCCTGGTTAGGGGTCCTGTGGTGGTTCCTGGTGGACGTGTGGGAGGGAGGCTGATCCAGGGCGTTTGTGTCTTTCTACAGGATAATCTTCTTAGACACAAACATCCAAACACTGAAACTGAAGGCGGAGGACTCTTCTGGAAGGCAGCACACGCTCTCCATTAAGCTCAAGTCCAAGGTGAACCTCACACCACTCACACCACAGTTAGTCACCATTCGATAGAGTTCAGCAGCACAGATCTACATCACAGCCCATAGATCCGGGTTGGACGGGAGAGGTGGTGACTGAGACGTACCAGAGCGCAGCGTCACGGGACACGTAGCTGCTTCTGCTGGATCACAGCGTTCAGCTCCATGCTGATGATGACCTTCAAGTCGTCTAGACTGGCTCCTGTTGTTGAAGGTCCTGCTCCAGCTCCGCAGACTGCTGCCTGGTCACAGATCAGTCCCACCGTTTCCATCAGTGGGACGTCTTGTTGCACACACAACCCATTCAAGAACAGAAGTGCGTTTTACACCAACATCATGCTTGTTTTTATTCTGCTGAAGGAACGTGTTGGTTTTATCTCAGGTCCTGGTTATTTTCGTAGGTGGAGCCCTAACCCCCCTAAGTATCAGCAGAAATATTCCACCCATGATTAGAGACAGATGGCTAGGATAATGTCAGAGTACGCCTGTTTAGTAACAACTTTAACTTTGAGCATGGTGAGATGGTGCTCACCGGAGCCTGGAAGACGTCCACCTGGGATACGGGAGGACTGACAGACCTCTCTCTGTGCCCACCTCTCCACCTGGCCCTGCTCACCCCTCTGGCACCAGATAGACTCAGCTTGGAGCTGTCTGAGCCTCCAGCTGCCTCCACCAGCTCCAGCGCCAGGTCATCCCTCAGTGGGCACAGCTTGGAGAGAGGCAAGCACTGGCAGCGAGGAGGTTTGGACGGCAGTGGGAGACGAGACTGGGAAAGGACGCAGAGTTTTTTCATGCTGAAGGTGAACAGACAGGAAGTCTAATTCCCATCAGATTCTCAGTAAGGTTTTAGCTTCCTGTTGGAGTGAATGGAGGCTCCTGGGTGTGCGCAAAGGTGAATCCACAGAAACCTGAGGGTGTTTGTATAAAGGACGAGCAGCAGCTTACGTGTTAATTCTGTGGACGTACGCTGTGGTTTAAACCTGTCTGGTTGCTGTTTTAACCCCTGAGAGACCTGGTGGTTCTGATCTACTGCCGGAGCCGAAACTTTGGGTTGTCTGGTGTTCCCCTACCCAGCTGCTGGGGCGCCCCGCCGCAGCAGTGAGCGGGGACCTTATTTATCAGATGTTTGTAGAAATGATCCTATATTCATCCTACGAATGTTCGTACGAACGGCCAAAATCCCGATTTGTGAAGTTGCGGTGTCCACTCGTACGCACGTTCCTGTGCAGTCGACCGATGATGAGTCCCACCTGTGCGTATCCAGGTGCTGGGTCCAATCAGTCCTTTACTTACAGAAACACCCTCAAGTAACCATATTTGGTCACTCCACGTTCTCAGCTTCCTGCGTTCCTCGTGAGAAAACAAACAAGCGTCAGTGTAAAGTGACCAGTCATTAATTTTCACACCTCCTGCAGATGGAGACACCGTCCTCCATCACCAACAGTCTCCCTTTCGTGTTGCACTGTTACTGTTTTTGTAAATTATTACAAAAGCAAAACAAGACTTCTACCAGACAAAGTTTGTTCCCTTTTTTTTTTTTTTGCTTCAGAGTCAGAACAAACAAACAAACAAACAAACAAACAAACAAATGTTTCCACTGCCTGAGCATCTTTACTCTGCTCCATTTATACATTTACAGTATTTAGACTTGTCAAACCTGGACTAACGTGTCTGCTTCACAAGAACACTGAAAAACATCGAACAAGATAACAATGGGAGAAAATGTATGCCTTTTGATGTTTTTATGCTGTGGTTTATATGACTATTGTGAATAATGTGTTGAACCCTGATTTTAAGAAAATCGTCAATCGAACCTAAATTGCAATTTCTCCTAGAAGTTTTGCAATTCAATCTTCCTAAAGTAGTTCAGCCCTATCTCCGGGGGTGGATCAGATCTGCACGGAGTTCCATAAGGCTCTGGATGTTGCGGGGCTGTGTTTTTTGATGCAGCTCTGCAACAATGCGTGGATATCGGGGGCAGTCCCACTGGATTGGCAGACCAAGGCGTCAGTCCACCTATTTAAAAAGGGGAACCACAGGATGCGTTCCAACTACAGCACACATGTCAAAGTCAAGGCCCGCAGGCAGAATCCGGCCCACGAATGAATTATCTATGGCCCTCGGGATGATATTTGATTAGTATTAGAACCAGGCCCCCACAATGCGGGTGAAAAATTGGGCCCAACCCAGAAGTACCAAAAATTGCAGTTCCACCCTCATCCGCTGCATAGGGGCTGGTGTCAGAAGCGAGCAAATCCTCATTGACTCCCATGTTAAAAATACCAATTTCACAGTAGAAATAATTTTATTTTATATAGATTTATTCTATATTTTTTCATTTTACTATTTGAAGCAGTAATTGGTAGGATAATTGAGCAGCACAATATTGCATTTTCAGTTTATAATGCATGCAGTTTCATTTATGCATTTATCTTGATATAAGGATCATATTTTGTTTTTGAAGGAAAGTTGCCTTTTTGCTGTTTGCCTGTTGAAAATGTTTTCTTTTTAACTTACTGACAGAGCCATAAGAAAATATAACTTTATTCATTTAATGTACAGGACATGTGATTTTTCTTTGAAGGCAGTTTGTCCTTGTCTGTGTGCCTGCTGAAAAATGTTTTCCCGATTATTGATTTAATCATTAAATAATACACTGTGTTAGGTCTTGGTTCAATAGGCTATGTGCAATCATTTCAATGTGTTTTAATAAACATTGAACCAGTCCGGCCCTCGGCTTATAGCCAATTTGTTTTTTTGGCCCTCTGTGTATTTGACTTTGACATCCCTGAACTACAGGGATCACACCCCTGAGCCTCCCTGGTAACGTCTATCCAGGGGTTCTGGAGAGGAGGGGTCCGTCGGATTGTCGAACCTCAGATTTGGGAGGAGCGATATGGTTTTCCTTCTGGCCGTAGAGCCCTGGGGGGTCCTGGAGGGTGCGTGGGAGTTTGCCCAACAAATCTACAGGTTTTGTGGATTTGGAGAAGGCGTTCAACCACTTCCCTGGAGAGGCCCTGTGGGGGGTACCCTGGGAGCAAGGGGTGCCAGGCCCCTTGATACGGGCTGTTGGGTCCGTGTACAACTGGCCTCAGAGCTTGGTCCACACTGCTGGCAGTAAGTCAGGCTTGTTTCCAGTGAGAGGTGGACTCCGCCAAGGAAAATCCTGACAGATCTGCGTCCCACTGTCACGTAACATTCATGGACTCACCCATCTTGACTCCGGGCTCGTTTTATCTGTGGAGATAAAACATCAAAGTTGCAAAGCAAACAGATTGAGTGGTAGAATCCCATTGCTGTTAGCCAATCAGAGGCAAGATGTCCAAATATCGTGTTACTTGAGGGTGTTTCTGTATGTAAATGAATGTTCAGACATGAGCACCTGGGCAGCACATGTGGGATTTGTCGTCAGCCGATTGCAGAGGAAGGTGCGTACGAGTGGACATGCATGGGGCTGACTGGCCAGTGGACATCTTCATAAATCAGGATTTTGGCCGTGTGTACGAACATTCTAAACTCCATTCATAGGAAGGAATACGGGATCATTTCTACGAACGTTTGATGAATGAGGGCTGACTGATTTTTCTTTTTAGCAAATAAAATATTCACAGTATTGGCTAACAGAGGAAGATCACGTGACAGGAAGCACTCAGAACCAGGAGAACATCAGAGTGTCCCAGGTATTTTAACTCAGCAGGTAGAGGTGATCACCTCAGAGATTTATGGTGTCCTCTATGTCTCCTACACACTCAGCATCCTGCAGAGGCTCCTGAATGTTCTGCTGACCTGCCCGTCCCTCTGAACCTCACCTGGACCCCTCAGGTACACACACACACACACACACACACACACCTCATGTGCAGGTGAACATCAGCAGCAATTCTAAAGCCTGGAGAAGTTCTGCTATGTAGTGGCGTTGCTAATGCTAATGTTAGCTTCTACTAGCTGAGACGTTCTCTGCTAAACCAACAACATGTAGTGGCGTTGCTAATGCTAATGTTAGCTTCAGTCCAGCATCCAACTAACTCCAGTTCCACAGCCTGTTTAATGTTAAAGTTGAAGACCTGAGTTTAAAGGAGAGCTTCACTTATTGAATCAGTACCTTTGCAGTTGGGATCGTAGGTTCCAATCACTTTTTTTTTTTTGCTCCAGATCCGATTCCGGGTCATTTGATGTTGAGTATCTGCCGGTACCGAGTCCCGATCAGATACTGTTCAGGAAAACATTAAAATAGGAAGAAAACACATCCAAGTTGTCCTTTAAGCCTCAATTTGATTTGATTAGGAAGTACACGGATTAAATAAAACGTTAATATTATGCATTTATGTTTATGTATTTAGCAGACGTGTTTGTCCAAAGCCACTTACAGGTGATAATCAAAACATCAGGTTGCCCTTGAGGCCAACAACAAACACTGATCAGTCAATGCTAGGTGGCAGTGAGGCAGCACGATCACTCGTAGAGGGAGGTGAACATGGAGTGTGCGGTAGAGTGGGGGATTTATTTAAACGTAGCAGCTTTGCTCTCATTTCAAGTTGTTTGCTTCCTCAATATGAAACTGTGTAATGTTTGGTAAGTGGTTACTTTTAATTGATTGCCAATAAAATATAAAGGTATTCAATAACATGTAATATTCCATATAAATATGGATGATCAATATCACTGAACCTTTAATTTTCGATGGATGATATAAAAAGGTCATTTGGGTATGGCAGGGAAACAAGATTTTATAATAAAATGTAGTTTATATAAATCAACGTATTTCTATATTTCTACTCCAATGATGATGCTAAACAAACGACTGTAAATGATGAGTTAAGGTGATATCAGCTGAGACACTGAATGAGCTTTGATGAAAGATGAGCTTAGATGTTATGTTAAAATACCTAATTAAGTGTCTTAGAAAATTGAGATGCCTGGGTTGTAAATAAGTCTGGCCGAATGTTTACTTGGGTTTAACAAGTTACCTAATTGCTAAAAACCATCCAACGCCTGGTGCGACAGATCTGCATCCCACTGTCACTTAACATTCATGGACTCACCCATCTTGACTCCAGTATTGTGGAGATAAAACATCAAAGTTCAAAGCAAACAGACTGAGTGGTAGTGGTATAAATCAGGCTTTATTTCCTGATATTTGGACATCTCTTTTCTGATTGGCTAACAGCAACACGACTCTACCACTGACTGTGTTTGCTCTGAAACACTGATGTTTTATCTCCACAATTATCACAAGCCTGGAGAAGTTCTGCTATGTAGTGGCGTTGCTAATGCTAATGTTAGCTTCTACTAGCTGAGACGTTCTCTGCTAAACCAACAACATGTAGTGGCGTTGCTAATGCTAATGTTAGCTTCTACTAGCTGAGACGTTCTCTGCTAAACCAACAACATGTAGTGGTGTTGCTAATGCTAATGTTAGCTTCTACTAGCTGAGACGTTCTCTGCTAAACCAACAACATGTAGTGGCGTTGCTAATGCTAATGTTAGCTTCTACTAGCTGAGACGTTCTCTGCTAAACCAACAACATGTAGTGGCGTTGCTAACGCTAATGTTAGCTTCTACTAGCTGAGACGTTCTCTGCTAAACCAACAACATGTAGTGGCGTTGCTAACGCTAATGTTAGCTTCTACTAGCTGAGACGTTCTCTGCTAAACCAACAACATGTAGTGGCGTTGCTAACGCTAATGTTAGCTTCTACTAGCTGAGACGTTTTCTGCTAAACCAACAACATGTAGTGGCGTTGCTAATGCTAATGTTAGCTTCTACTAGCTGAGACGTTCTCTGCTAAACCAACAACATGTAGTGGCGTTGCTAATGCTATTGTTAGCTTCTACTAGCTGAGACGTTCTCTGCTAAACCAGCAACATGTAGTGGCGTTGCTAATGCTAATGTTAGCTTCTACTAGCTGAGACTTTCTCTGCTAAACCAACAACAGCCTTCCCCGTAGCCCATAACAAGAGGCTAAACCTCCACTTGCAGATGTGCACACAGACCACTGCCTTGTTTTTA